TCAGGATTTTTGAGAGTCAAGAAAATCTGCCACTTAGTTTCTTGTAGCCATTTCCACCCCACATCTTGGGCTTTTGTAACACAGAATAAAGCTCCTTGTTCTAAAACATTGTGAAGTTGGACCATAAAAAAATCTGCTTTATAACAAAATGAAGACAAATTCTATCTTAAAAAGGGGGGCACTAAACTCGACCTTCTAAGATTCTAAAAAACACAGGCAAAAGTCCCGTATCCCCAATCACATTTTGCCTGCCTCCAGAACAGTGGCCTACATTAGACGACAGCCATATAGTCTTAACACAGGCCAACAACAGTGAAAGTTATTGACACACATGCAAGATTAACTGTTCACCCCATACAGAAGCAAAAGGCATGTGCATAGGCTGAACTTGGAACATGCATGTTGCAAGCACAAAAGAGATCAAACAAGAATAATCATTGCAAATGCTAAATTAGGTACTAAACTTTAAATTAGGTTTTCACATGAATGCAACAGATAGGTTTACTCACTAATTGCACCCTGATTTTAGTCTGTATGATAAAGGGGGGGGGGAGGGAGGGAGAACCTGTTTTAAGTGTTCTCTGTGATGAAGCCTTTCCATTAATACAAAAGTAAACAAAGACAAAAGAAGAGAGTAGTAAAACTTGTGTAACCTAAGGTGGAGGAAGGGGGAGGGGGAATATCAGAATCCCAATGCTACAGGACTGGCATTCTCTACAGCTGCTGATTTATGGCAGGCTGTCATACAAAGTTCAGCCTACAATACTAGCAACCACATTCTCTAGCATCATGTATATAATTGGAAATTTTCTTAATAACTCTCAGTTTTAAAGGCTCATAAAAATCTCTAGTTTACTTGTAATTTGCAGGAGGTAAAGAGAAATTATTGAGGGAAAGGAGCACTTTCCTCTCAGTAAAATTAACTTTGAAGATAATATGCATATTATTACCAACTAATGAGTAAAGCCTTAGTTTTCTTCCAGAATTTTTGGAGAAATGTACAAGTTTTAACCTGTATATATTCACACACACATAGGAGAGGAAAAGAGAGAGAAAATGAGTATCACACACACAAAAATTGAAAGTATATTGGAGACACCACATTTTAAATTACTTCTGAATAAAAATAATAAAGCACATTATACGTATCTTGATAAAACACTGTATTCCTCAGTGAAACCATCTATGTTTCTAAGATAAAAGTATATATATGCTCCAAGAGGTAACGGAAAGGTGTTTCATCTAAGAGCAAAATAATCCAGCATTAAAAACGTTAAGCACACCTGATCTCTCTGCACTTTCTAAAACAAAATCCTTTCAATTTGTTAAAGGCTCAACTGGTAAGAGAGTTCGATAAATGACCATTTTATACTGGCCATTTTCTGATTTTTTTTCAAAGCAAAGCTAAGATAATGAACAGGATGCTGAAGTTTCCATTCAAAACAGTAAAAATATATCCTGCCATCAAGCCTGCATAGAATAACTTTAGATTTTGCTTGAGTCAAGCCTTTTTGAGATAAAAACTTGTTGGCTTTTTAGCTAAAGCTATTTCAGACTGCTTTTTGGAACCCTGCTTAAAAGCTCTTTGGATCGCAAAACCTACCAAAGCAAAACAAGGACTAGTAAATCTAGTGTTTCCTACCTGGTACAGGTAAGGACCAGCTCTCAAATGCCACCTTGGGATACTTCAGAGTGGTCATCAGGCTCATGTTTAGAGAAGACACTAACATGAATAAAACCCAATCTATCCTGTTCTTTTCTTCTTTGCGTTAGCAAACTCTACGGCAGTCACTATAGTCTAGTGAGCAAGATGAAGACCCCCCTACACAGGCTAAACTCACCCAAAAATGCTGCTACAGAGAAATACACACACAAAAAAAGGCTTACTGCTTGTCATGTGACTTGGTGAGGTATGCTGCCCATTGGGTGTGCTTGAAGTGAGGTCAATAGCCATGTTGGAGTGCTCCCTTTCGGGCGAAAGCTCATTGTCACCTGCTTGCACAAAATAAAACACTTAGGTTTCTGTCCCATGGCGCCATAAAATTATTCAATTATACAGCAATCAGACTTGCTAGCTTCTTTTCAACCCACCCGCCTTGCAATTTTAAATACATTTCTCCACAACCAACTAAAATTGACTGCCTAGTGACCAGAAACACGATTTTGGGGGAGGTGGAGAATCAAACAGTTCCCTCCAGTCCTCACTGACTGTAAAAAGTACATGTGAAAATTTTGCTCAGAGTTACATGTTCAGAATTTAGAATGACTTGTCCATTTTAAACACCGTGATGCGAACAGATTAGAGTCCAAACTAGAGGGGAACGGAGTACCACTCCAACATTAGGACCTTCCACTCCAATTTTGACTCATAGTTTTCAGGTAGCTGGCCATTAAGCTATAATACTGTAGTTCCACAAAGTATTGTCCTTTAATGGACAAGTTGGAAACAATGCATAGACCTAAAAAGCCTCACAATAAAAAAAGAAATTTAGATTTTATCCCGTTTCTCATTTTTGTTTTATATAAACATCACTCTCTTAGGAAAAGTTCATTCATCCTTAGCAAATATTTAAATATATAATGTAGGGTGGTTTAAAAAAAACACTAACATTTAGTGTTAAATGATATTTCTCCAGTGTTCTCCTACAATACAGAGTTTAATAACAGCACAAATGAAAGTTAAAGAGTTTCAAGTGGCTTAGTTTGTGAAGCAATATTGTGAACAGGAAAACAAAGGAGGCTTCGCAATTAACCCACAAAATTAAATAAAATTAGTACTTACATGTTAAATAGCCATCCGTACCTTCTGCTTCCATAGTCAAAGTGCAGTGCTACAAGGCAAAAGAATACACCCTCAAAGATGCCTGCCTGCATCAGCCATTAAACGCTTAAACTGACTGAAAGCCATTGGTATAATTTGCTGCTGCTGCTGCAACCCGCACCTAAAAAACATGCAAATGAGCACACGCAGTGCATTGGTAGTCACTGAACTCTTTCGGCAAATGATCTAAAGCTGCTGCAGATGGGGCAGAAAAGGTAAGTTTGCAGCTTGATGAGCAGTGTGGAGACTTTCATTTGATTAAGTTGGAGTTCCACTTTGGGGGGGAGGGGTTCCAACTGGGTAATGCTTTATCAATTACCAGTTCTCACAGCCACAGCTAGCTTGGAGGACCCTGATACTCCAAAGATTGCCCTTTTCACACTTATTCTCTGCTGGCACATTCTCACACAAAACAAAACCCTTCAGTGTTCAGGGAATCTTTCACTCTTATTACCTTTTGTCTTCCATGGTCCATCAGCCACCCTCTCTCACCCCTCCCCCGACACCTGCCCATGCACCTGTTCATTGTAACCATGCTATCTATCACAGGAGAGGCTGCATGTCCGATACCATATTTCTAGAGCATTCATTTTGTGGGATGTGACAATCTCAGAGTTTCTGAAAGCACTTTGCTGAGATAGAATAAGCTATTACTTTCCAGAAACTCAAGTAACTGTATAGGATGACACCCCCTAGCTTTCATGTGATTAAAAGAGGGGGGGGAAGCAATCAATCACAACTATATTCTTTTAAGTGGAAAAGTTAAGAAACTGACATGATCAGAGGATAATTTTATTTCCTCTCCCCTGCTCTGCGCCCCCCTTTATTTTTTTGCCTTTAGTTTCAAAACTCTCACTGCACCAAGCAGCTAAATTATTCACAATGAGCCATTTCTGTATTGATCGCCAAGTATATTTAGCCCTGACTCCTGGAATTTCTCCATTACTTACTGGAAAACAGGCAGCTTCACTTCTTGTCTCCAAAACCACTTCCCTCTCCTCCCTCTCCCTCCCCCCCCCCCCCAAAAAAAACCCAACAACTTTTCTCTGTGTTCCTCTCTGGTGTGAGGCAGATCAAATAACACATTTCAAACTGGAGAGCTGCTATCAAACTCTTTCCATTACTAATTTTTACATGATTATAACCACTTTTAGAGATCATTTTTTGTTTTTTTTTTAAACCAAGCAGCTTCCTCAAGCCCTTTTAATATTACTTTATCTTTCCCTTAGTACAGGTAGACAGACACACATGGGGAGGGGGGGGGGAAGGTAGAGAGGCAGAGAACACGTCAGAAGCAACAAGGAAAGAAGGTCATCCTAGCCAATGAAATGGGAGGAAAGAAAGGAGAGGACGGGAAGGGTGGAGGGCGAAAGGAATGAAATATACATGAAAGAAAGAAAGAAAGAAAGAAAGAAAGAAAGAAAGAAAGAAAGAAAGAAAGAAAGTTTGATCACCCTGTCCAGGTTGTGATGGCCAAACCCAGCTGATAATCCCCTACTATCCACCCCGAAAGGACAGACATTTCTGATTGTAGTGAAGATATAGCGAGATGGGAACAGTTAATAATATTAATAATAACATCCTCCCCCCTCCCACCCCGTCCCTGAAACTTACAAGTAAAGCATTCAGAGCCAACTGATCGGTGGGGGGGGAAAACAAACAGAAAAAATAAAAAGCGAGGAGAAGTCTTTCCCTCTCTTGGGATGGTCTTGTTGAGAAACTCACTCAGGAATGGCACATACTTTCAGGAAAGATGAGGAACAAAAAGAGAAGGAGGGAGGGAGGGAGAGAGGTCAGCCACTACCTACAGCAATGTGATTAACCAGGAAAGAGAAAAACTTGATCCACCGGTTCCTTAAGAATTGACAAGAAAACCGTAGGAGCAGAAGACAGGGGGGAAGTGGGGGAGAGGAACAGAGGTTAAAAAAAAACCACCCACCCACGCAGAGCAATAAACCTAGCCCAACTTCACAGGATTGTTTTTGGCCCTTGGCAAAACCAAGAGATCTTCATGTCATCCCTGGCTCTCACCGCCCAGAGCAGAGCCTGTCAGAATAACGTGTCAGTCCTGCCTTGATCAAGCTCATGCAAGTCCTGCCAGCTAGCACCCTAAAAATCCCCCCCCCCCCCCGGGGGTGGCGACCACCTTCTCCCAGGTAGGCTGCAGCTAGGAGAGGAAGCGATTGGCACATGGCAAAGCGAACCCTGCTGGTCCATTTCCAGGGGGCTGGTTCATCCGCGCACCTCCCAGGAACCAGAGTGTTGGGGGGGGGAGGTTCCCCCCAGAGCAGCGCGCCCGCTATGCTCGGCCGCCAACAAACAACCTTAATCCCCTCCTCCCCGCGCGCGCACACACACACACACACACACTGACACACACACTGACACACACACACACACACACTGACACACACACACTCATTAATTCATGAGGAGGATGAAGAGCTGCCTGACAGCAACAAGTCACTGGACCACAGCCCGGCCCAGAGTT